AGTTCTAGTGGACGTAGGAGTCTTGTTGAGGTGTTTGTATCAGATTATAATCCTTAGAAGGTAAGACTTCTTATGGGCCTGACCAAAGGGTGTTCGGTATGAATGAAAGAGCTCGAGGACTCATGAACCCCATATATCAAAAGGATACCCGAGGACATATGCAAAGTGCAAGACCTCGGGTGTAATACCTCCCGAGGACTAAATCACCCCGAGGACTATGTGCCCCTATATGTGATGAGCAAAACCCTATGAGTCCTTAGTAGAAACATCTCAGGAGGTTGCCAAAAGTGACCACATCACTTTGGATTCTTAGTTTTTACATTCAATGAAAGGAAATGTTTTCATTCCTAATTTCAGATTTGATATTGATTACTCAATTAGGAAATGGTGAAAATGGCTGTAATAATCAAGTTTTTAACTATTTCAATTTTCAGGTAATGATTTTATGTTTAAAGCTTCTTTTCTATCATCATGGTGTCGAGTTGTGACAAGTTATTTCCTTACTGCGTGGAGAATCATCCCATCAGCCCCTAGAGCACTATTTGCATTGGAAGTGGTTCGGCCACTCGAATTTCTAATGGTCGCCTACTCTTATTAGTCTAGTTTTCTATACTGAGGTGTTAAATATCTTAGTTAGCATTGAGCTTCCTTAAAAAAAAATTATTTGAGTTGCTACTTTCGAAGTTCACTTTCAACTTTGGTGTATACAGCATCCTATTTTTTGGAAAATGTTTGAAAGAAATGTGTGATTAAAAATGAATTAAAAAAAAAGTGAGCTTTTATAGAATGAGAATCAAGCAGGGGCTAAATAGCTAATGTTCATAGTGGCAGAGCACAAGTAAAATTGCATCCAAAATCGCCAGAATCCAAATTATTAGGTTGATGGTAATGTATGGAGAGTTTAAATATCAATTTCCATCCCCAAATCAGAAAGTATTATCTCAACAAGAGAAACATAACAATGCAATGAAATTACAGCAAAAATAGGGGAAAATCTAGAAAATATTAACAAAATTTTATGAAAAATATAAGTTGGATATAGGTTTTATACATCCATTTTAGTACGGACTACAGATTGTTCAAGTTTTTATCATCATCAGAGAGCAGTAGGGGACATCTAATTACTGACTCCATAGCCAGCCATTCTACTAATATACTGATCTAGAAGCTACGGCCATGTCAATGTCTCGGGCTTTCAAGGCATGCAATATTCCACGAGCATGCGGATACAGATAAGGCGCATGATCAGCAACATTCACAGTAAAAGGGCCAAAGAGTGTAATTGAGAAGGCGAGGAAGGGTTCCGGAGTCCGATGATCTGTTCAGCCTTGTCGTTTCACATCCTCTCTCTCAAACACGCCTTTCTGTCCAAGAAATCAAAGAAATTGACAGAAGTGGAGAAAGAGAGCAGTCATTTTGCAAGGTGGAGCCAAAATATTTCAAATATCGGCATAACATACTCTTCAATGGTTCACGTTATAACAAAAATCATTTACAGATATAAAAGCCCCAATTTGCTCAAGGATAATTATTATCGCGAATAAGAAAGATGAAGTAATTTAGTCACACATCTATGTAAACTAACAACCCACAAAAAAAATTAATATAAACAACGATGAATTACCTGTTCTATCGGAGAATATCAATGTAAGAAACCTTGATCTTCCTTCACAGAATAATGCAATACAAAGTGTCGCCATGACTATGAATTTCAGAATAATAAATTAATTTGTATTGAATGTTTGGATTAATTGAATTTGAAACCCAGAAATTGAGCCACAATACATCAATTTGAACCCGAGACATGTGTCGGAGCTGTATCAGTTAAAAAACTAAAATTTGGAAAGTTTAAAGTCATTAGTTTTGATTAAATATATCTAATTTAAACTAAATAAAATATAATTATATAAATTACAGTGAAATATGAATTTGTTATTTATTCATATGTACTAATGAATTTTTCCCTTACCATTTACCCACTATATATCCCGACCATTCCAATTGAAAAATCAATTACATTTGCAAAACCTTGTTGGCTAGTTCTTCCCAGTTCCCTGCGATTGCGATTTGAGAAACAGTCGACATTCCCGATTCCCTGTGATTGCAGCTGCCGCCAGGCGAGCCCTGAAGTCAGCCTCTCTAACTATCCGACTCTATTTTTGGCCTCAACAGACTGGAAGAAAGAAGCCGTTTCTCTTCTCCTGAGTTTTACAATACAAGTTAAATACATTTAAATTGAAATGTTTATAGGTAATGGTTTTTGTCCTTGAAACACAGAAAAGCAAAATACTTACATTCCTTGATTTTATGTGGAATACTAGAATCCAATTTCTGTCTTTCTTCATTCTCGTTGACTGTGGTTCGTTACTATAAGTCGTCTATTTTATTTTATTATTATTTTTTAGTATGTTAATTTATGAGTTATTAACTTATTATGATTGTGACTGTGAGAGTAGAAAGTAGAAGAATGGTGTGTAAAACTTAGACTCTAGTTTTATTATCAGAAAAAGGATTGTGGTCTGTTTCTAAGAGAAGAAAGTAGAAGAATAAGAATTAAGAAGGAGAACGATTAACGAGAGAATGCAATCGAATAAGAAGGGAAAAGAGATAAGAAGGCAAATATTAGAACCAATTTTAACAAACGACCTCGTTATTACGATCGTTGATTGTCAACGATCAACTTTCGCCATAGCTCTGACTTGGATTCGTCACTAGGCATAGGCACCACCCTGTGCTGCGCCATGCAGCTACGAAGATGGCGCTGATCGTCGCCGTGAGTAGTATCGACGCCACACAGCCGTCTTGGTACCACCAGATATGTTATTCTTTTTTTCCTGAGTTCAATTTTTCGAAAATAGATGCTATGGAGT